TGAGAGCGAGTCGGTTAGGACGGCCCCTCCTAGCACCAGCGGCCGAGGAAAGCTTTGACAATGGTAACCGCCCTCACCTTGCGTACCATATTTGTCTCTCCGTTTCGTTTAAACTTATTTGGCGAGGGAAGTAGTTAAAGCCTTTGAAAACCCTGTTGTTTAGATGCCGGCTGCGCACACGTTCTGAGGAAATTTCGGTAATAGTGTAGCAGGCAGCCATCATGGTCGGTCTGGCGTCACTGTTCATGACCTCTCTGCCTCAAGGTCATCCACCTTTTTGCAGTGAGCCGTTTCAGATGCGCTGACCAGCTCGGGCATGCCTGCATCCGCACAGCCGAAGTTGCCCATGCGACCACTTGAACTCACCCCACCCCCTGCAAGCACAACCTAAGCCACTGGGATTCCACCCCTCGGCAAATGCAACACACACTGACTGGACAGCACTTGAGCTTGGACCACGGGCCTACCAAAGCGGCTGCCACCACTGTCCCATGGACTCTCAGGCATGACTGGACGAGGTAAACACCAGCCCTGACTTCGCCAGTGGCCACTGCCGCCTGAGAGGACAACTCCGGGTTCTGTATGCATTAGACCCCTCAGTCTGGTGCCATCTGTCTTCTTCCAGCATGGTTTGCCTGGTGGTAGTGGCGCACAAGCTACACACAGTCCCACGGTTGTGACACCACAACAGAACAAGTGAATTATCGCCCTCATTCAGTTGTGGAGGCGACGTCCTTTATTTTCCCTCAACACTGAACCCGATTTAAATACCGCGTTAATCCAGGACATTAGTATATTTAAAATGCAATCCTATTTAAATTATGTGGATACCGTTTTAATAATGAAATTTCGGCTAGATCGCCGTTGGTAGCCAGGCCCCGTATTACAGGTGGCTGGGGGGTTGTTTACTGGGGCTATTTTGTGGTGTTCCATAAGCACATCTGACCCATTTGGCATCCGTTTTACGTTTGAGGTTAGGATTACGGTACCGGTTAATGGTTTCCCATTTTCAGGTTAGGGTTGTGCTTTTAGGCTTAGGTTTTCGGGTTATGGTTAGGGTTTGAGCGTATGATTAGGTTTCAGCATTATCGTTAGGTTTTTCAGTTACGGCTATGTTTAAGGTCTACGGTTACGTTTAGGATTTCGGTTAGGGTTAGAGTTGCCGTTAGGGTTCACGGTTACCGTTTAAGGTTGAGGTGAGGGTTAGTGTTAAGGTTAGGATTAGGGTTAAGGTCGCCATCCGCTTCCCCATTCCTGGCTACCAATTGCGATCTAGCCCCTTTGTGCAAAAAATTCAGATTGGAGGTACAGCCTGGAAATTTTCGTGTCCACGAAGATGAGACCACAGGGTGGATTATTGGTGGACTAAGAGTCGGGCTGGAATGACTCCTTAACGTGATCTCTGGCACTCTTACACACATGTGATTCATACTGCCACACCTTCTTTGTGAAATTTCGGTGCTTGTGTTTGGAAGATCAGGTTGTGTATGTGACACGAGCCGACGAAGTCACTAGCTATATCAGCCACTGCATTCATCCTCCGCACCAGACAACTGACCAGCTCGGACAGTGGCCTAGGGATGGGAATAAAGGGTGTGGTCGACGTTACGATACAATAAGTATAAGGAACGAAAGGTAAAAACCCCAGAACCGAAACTTGAAGAATGCCAACAGTCACGTCCATCCTGTTCTGTTTATCTTCCGATACGGACGCGTTGTGTTCGACCAAACAGAAGTGCCTTTATGTACTTCAGAAGCTTTTCTTTGATGGCAAGTGACCTTACTTTATGCAAAAGGCATTGATCTTAAACACCATCGAAGGCTTTGCAGAAATCGGTGTACACTACGCATGCCCCGAAGACCTCTTTCTAAGCGCCGATCCAGATTTCCAGATAAGTCAGCTGCTTTGGGAGGCTAAAACGCCCACACTGACAACCATACTGAAGATTCTGCAAGGCGGTATTTTCATCAC